TGGTTGCGAATTGTGGGAGCTTTGTTTATGACTCCTTTTTATTTGTTCCACTGGTCGATTCTGCTCCATCGCCGAGCCTTGAACATAACTCGCAAACTCCCCTCTAGCTATCAACATCTCCACTTGCCTCCTCAGGTTCCTGCATTCGTTAGTCTGATGTCCGAAATCAGAATGAAAAGCACAATGTTTAGTTTGATCCCTCTGTTCGAGGGGTTGTCTAATTGGCAGTGGTGGATGAAACTTGTCCTTGTTCTCCTGATACAACCTGGCCAGAGTGACCTTCAGCGGAGTAATCAACTCTTCCTCCCTGGACCTTTTTTCGGCCTTCCAAGTGGTCTGACGTTGCGGCTGAGCCTGCTTCTGCCTGATCTTTGCCTTGGACTTTTCCTCGGTCGACACAAGCGACGTTGTCCGAGCATTAGCTGCCTCCTCTTCTTCGAGGCGCACAAAGCCATCGGCTCTCTCATTGAGTTCATCCATGGTAGCTGGCGTATTCACTACCAAACTGGTGTGAAACGGAGTTCCGCGTGTCATGGCTAACTTGAAGGCTTGAACTGCCGTAGAAGGATGGCATTCGATTACCATACTCTTAGTGAGATTAAACCTGGTAAGAAAGGCCTGGAGCCGTTCATCCTTGTGTTGCCGCATCGTGAACAGGCTCGAGATGTCCTTCGGCGGGCGTTTGTTCCCATAGTACTGGCTTATGAACCGATCGCACAGGTCCCTGAAACTGCCAATGGAGCTCCTAGGCAAGTTTTTGAACCAGCTGAGCGCCGGTCCGGCCAGACTTGTAGGGAAGCATTTGCACATTAAAGAGTCGTTTTCCGTATTCAGGGCCATTTTCAACTGGATATGATACACATGATCGATCGGATCGGTTGTTCCGTCAAACAGAATAAAGACTGGCATAGCAAACTTCCTTGGATGCGGCGCATTCAAGATCTCGTCGGTGAATGGTGAATCCACCGTCCGAGCTGCGGATCGGAGAGCTTCATTCTCTCTCTGGAGTCCAGCGGTAGCTCTGTGAGTTACGGTTCTGCCCTCCGAACCGTGATGAGTGACAGTAACCATGGAGGGCCGGTAAGACGGATCGAACGACCGTTCCTCTATGAACTCTCTCTGCCAAGGCGACGCTACTCGACGGCGATCTACCTCCATCACTTCCTCTCGGTCAAACCTTTCCCGCTGCGGATCAACGTGAGTCGAGCCTTCGTGATCTTCAACTCGACGAACATTTGGCGGCGAATTGTCCATCATCCTTTCATCACGGTGGTGAGCTGACTGATTGTTCTCGTTCTGATCGCCTTGATGCGCGATACTAGATGGAACACCTCCTTCTCCGACCGGAAGCGGATGCGAAACTGCGGGTATTTGCCGATGCTGCAATCCAGCTTTCAATTCTGCATTTTCTTTTCTGAGAGCTTCAATCAAATTCATCAACTCTTCAAGCTTTGTTTGCTGGACAGCCTCCATCGGATTGGAGCTTTCACCTATCATTATTCCCGAACGGAGTAAAGGCATTAATCTCAAGTTCGCGAGTAGATCTAAGCTTCGTGAGTAGGAATTTTTAGATCTGGCTTCTAATTCTCCAAATTATGCTCACTGTTTACAAGATCTGAATTGCCTGGACTCTAAATCCGTCAGATCCTGTCACAATCGAGCAACTCGCGGTTGCGTAGATCTGAAGTCACTCCTGCCAAAGCTTCAAGAATCGTAATTCCTCCAGAGTAGGTCACAATCGCTCAGATCTGGATTCAAATCCGCAAGATCGAGTCTCGATCAACCGAATTGGTTTGAATCCATTCGATACTCCTCATTGATCAACCAAACTTTTATGCGTTTCCCACAGACGGCGCCAATTGAAGATGCAAGAAACTCCTTCTATTCTTTCTCTCTCTAGAATTCTTACACCTCAACCCGAATCAAGATCCCCCTCCTCTTCATTCCAACTCCTATTTATAGATACTTACCAGATATTTACAAGATATTTACAAGATATTTACTAATTGCTGGACCTGGGCCTATTCCTCAGTAAGCCCTGGTCGCTCTTGATGGGCTTACTCCCGCTCGGCCCATATGGCAGTGTCTTTCTATGGGCTGACCCAGCTGTTCGGACTGAAGGTTGTGTTTTACGAGTCGGACCTGGCCCATGTCATCCAGGGCCTCCTCAGTATGTTTTTATCGATCTTGTTTTGAATCAGAACAAAAACCTATAGTAACACAATATAGCTAATTGTGTTAGTTTTGTAACAGTGTTTTTTTAAAAAAATTAAATTTGTATACTTTAACAGTATAATGGTAAAATTGTCGTTTTTAAGATATAGCATGGGTCACACGAACAAATCCAACCGGAATAGTGTTACTTGGTTTTTTTTTTTTGGCAAAAAATTGAATAATTTAGGAGGTTTTCTGTAAAAATAAAAGTTCAAGGGGGTTTCTTGAGAGAAAGTAAAGTTCATGAGAGTTTTTATTATTTTACACAGTAAAAGTATATTGGTAAAAAATATATAAAAACTATCTTCTCCTTCTGCCAAGCAAACAAAAATATTATCTCCCCATCCATCTTATTTACTATTCATTCTATCCAACCAAATATAAAATGAGAAAGACACCTTCCTTTATTTAAGAATATCTCATTCATCTATTTTTCCATTCTCCAATCAAATGAAACATAAGGTACAAAATAATGACTAAGCTCTAATTTTTTCTTATATTTTCTATTACCAGGATTGAAGTTTGAGAACTCACGAAATGATAAGTTCAATTCACACGTGACCTCTCTAGTCACCCAATTGAGTTTTTCATTGAAACAATCGTGTTTCATTTTCGAGCCTTTTTGTCAAAAGATCTACAATTTGGTTAGTGGAAAAGCTTTCCAATTCCCACTTCAACCATGGACAATTCCCAACAAGTAACATGTTTGTCCGGGTCTTAGTACGTCACTTGTAACGAATGATAGACAATTTTGTTGAAAATTTACAAAGTGACAAAATGATATTCTCTCGCCTCGTAATAGTTATTTGCCTCATAATAATTATTTATTTATTTTTTTATTACTATTTCAAAATATTTGACTACTTATTAAATTTAAACAACATATTTTAAATTTTTCTATAAAATACTTTTAAAATTTTAAAAATTTAAAATTTAATTTTATATATATATATATATATATCTATATATATATTTAAACTTGAAAGAATAATTTAATAAATTTTAAAAGAGATAATATAATAATTACATATTCTTTTAAAAAATTTTACTTTCATTAAAAAAAAATATCTATTACGAGGGGGAGGGAGCAATAAAATCGTCGAATCTTATGGAGGTTTGGTAGCAACATATAAATTGCTTTGTTTTATGTTTATCTTGTTTTGAGCGACGTTGAAAATATAGCTATGAGTTACTCTAATGATAACTAACCGGTTATTGCCACTGACGTTTTTCACTTTAACCGGTTATTGCCATTTTTTATTTTCTTTTCTTTTCTTTTCATCATCATCATCGTCAAGCTTCAGTCCAGTCGCCGCCCGTCCTTTCCAAGGTTATCGTCGTTCTTGTACACCGGTAAAAGCAACCTTACTTCTTGCAGATTCTATTCAACGTTGCCTACACCGCGATAGTGCTACTGCCGACCAGCCCTGCTCAAATCTTCATCGCCGGTTCATGCCCACCATCCGTTCCGGTCAATCGTTGAAGACGGTTGAAGAACTGAACGGCGGCAGATCTACTTTCGGCAAGTTTGAACCGGCAAGAATGGATGATTGAATAGAGTGACGGACGGGTGGGTATGAATCGACAAGAATGGATGATTTAATGGAACGATCGACAGTGGGTATGAACCGGCGATGAAGAAGAACACCGTTTCTTGTGGTTGTGCTGTTGCGAAGAAGAGGACGGCAAAGCCGACGAAATGGGTTTCAGAACAGAGTATGGTGGTTGGCCGTCGAAATGGGTTTCAGAATATATATATTATGGTGGTGATTAGGCAGCAATACCCAAGACATTGCTATCAATAATCAAACACAGAGTAGACATATATCTTTTTCACCAAAAGCTGAGAATTAATTATTATAAAAAAAAATAATTCTCATCGACTTCTAGAATACACTAGCATTCAGTATGAGATTCTCACATCGCCCTCTCTACAGTATCATTTTCTCCAGTCAAAATTCCCTATACTAACTTTTTTTTTTTAATTTTTTAATGTGATTTCTGTAGTGTAAACGGAGTTCTTCTTCATCGCCGGTCATACCCACGGTCCGTCGTTCCATTCAATCATCCATTATTGCCGGTTCAAACTTGTTACTTGCCGACAGTAGATCTGCCGCCGTTCAGTTCTTCAACAGTCTTCAACGATTGACCGGAACGGATGGCGGGCATGAACAGGCGATGAACAGTTGAGCAGGACTGGTCGCCAGTATAGGTGGCGTTGAACAGAACCGGTGAGAAGTAAGGTTGCTTTTACCGTGTGCAAGAACAACGATGACCTTGGAAAGGACGGCGGGCGACTGTGAACTGAGCCGTGATGATGACGAGGAAAAGAAAGAAAATAAATAACCGGTTAAAGAGAACAACGTTAGTGGGAATAACCGGTTAGTTGTTATAAAAGTAGCTCGTAACTCTCTTTTCAATGTGGTTCGTTCAAAACACGATAAACAACGAAGCAATTTATGTGTGTGCTGGACCAATAAAATCGCTCGACTGATAGCAACAGTCGCCTAGCAAACCTCATTCTTATTTGGTCCTACAAACTCACAAAATGGTACTATATATATATATATATATATATATATATATCAGTGTTACACGGCACGAAGGAGCCGCCAATGCAGACTATATATATTATAGGTTATCAACAGCCAGGGGAGGGGGTTTGACAGTCACAATGAAGGACTCAAGAAGATATTTAGTGTATATATATATATATATATATGTAGTCTGCATTGGCGGCTCCTTCGTGCCGTGTAATACTGATATATATATATATATATTTATATTACAGCGTTCCGTGGACCCCAAGTTCATACCTCCCAGTGGTAAGAGACTATCAAAGCCAAAAGTGTCTTAACATATCCTTCTATCTATTTTGTGTGTGTACATATAATATATATATGTATATATATATAGAGAGAGAGAGAGAGCAAAGAGCTCTGAACTCTCACACAATTAATTTGGCCGAGAGAGAAAGATGAGCAACAAGGAAGCAGTCGCAATGACAGAGTCAAATCCGATGACTGGTGGAGATGGCACTTACAGCTACACCAAGAACTCCACCTATCAGGTACTAGATTACATGTATATATGTGTATATCAGCATTTGATTTTTTTGTTGAATAGGTACTCTTGTTCTATAAATTATTAGATTTGCCAAGGCTTATGGTGGTGATGAATATAACTTTTCACTCAATTGGGTGACTTGGTCACTCCAATAAACATAATTCTTTCAGTAATTCGTAAGGGAAAGGTATTCTATATTTTTTGACATAAAAGTATTCAAATTCCAAAAACAGGAAAAAACATATTCAGAAATTTGTATCCATACAGTTTGCCCCAATAAACTGATGGCTGAAGTATGAATCTTGAATTTTGGGGGTTTTTTTTTTTTTTTTTATATATATTTTATGATTAGTGTGTGGAGGTTGTGGTTGTGTTGAAGCTCATTTTGTACTTGGTTGTTGAAATTACTAAATCAGTTTATTAGTTAGTACGGTTCTTTGTTATCTACCGGTTCATGTTTTGCTAGGGATACTTTGGTTTTTTTTTTTTTTTTTTGTTAGTTGGTACTTTCACACGCGTCCTTCTGAGACTTGAACCTCTGACTTTCTTTTGGGAGATAAGGGCTTAATACCGCTAAGTCACTGATAGGTTGGTTTGGCAATGGGATACTTGAACATGCCATATCCTTTATTTTCCATCTTCTAAGGAAGATACTTGAATAGGTTATAAAAACGGTGACTGTTGCTTCAAACACGAGGTATACATACATTATAGAATCAATTCAACCATAATTTGCAAATTTCAATAATTTGCAAATTAGTTGGTTCTCTATCATGTTAAAGGCTATATTGGTATGTTCAGCCATCAGATACACTAACCTAAACATATTGGAATGCAACTAAATATTCACAATTTTGTATACTAATCTATTATTTTCTAAGATACGATGGTATTCTATCATACAGAGTCCAATATGAGTATTTCATATAATCCATATTAAAACAAACATAACAGAATTGTTTTATGAATAATTATTAGAGAACGTGAATTTTAGATATATATGTGAGGTGGATGTCCAACAGATATGTCAAAGACATATTCAATTTTAGATATATATGTGAGGTGGTTTTCAGCCTCATTATAAAATTGTTCTATTATGGATGCGCTTCTCCCAATTTGAATAGCATATTTCAAGAACTATAGCATAAATGAGCTCATATATTGAAAGGGCGGAATTTTTTTTAATGAATCATGATTATCATATATTTTTAATTTCTCAGTTCACTTGTATAATACTTGTGGGCTATAGTAATACCATCCGGTATAACAGATTCAGTCATGACATATAACTAGGTTTCGACATCTCTGAAGTGGAATCAAGTAGTTTTTACTATTACATGCACTAATTGGATTTGTTAATGATGATCAAAGCATTCCAAATCTGATAGCAATGACAATGATGATTATAGCAACAAGAGCAGTAACATCTTTTTTCGATTTTACAGAGAGAATCTTCAAATCATGCTCAAAAAATGATCGATGAAGCAATTGCAATGAAGCTTGACATAAAAAGCCTCATTTCTAATTCAAACACATTGCGCATAGCAGATTTGGGATGTTCAGTTGGGCCAAATACCTTCATTGCCATGCAAAATGTACTTGAAGCGATGGAGAAAAAGTGTCTTTCCCAAGGCAATGCTTCTAAAGCGCCCGAATTCCAAGTGTTCTTCAACGATCATGCAGCCAATGATTTCAATACACTTTTCGCATCCCTCCCTCATGATAGGCAATACTTTGCTGCTGGAGTGCCAGGTTCGTTCTATGGCCGCTTATTCCCGGAGTCCTCTCTCCATTTTGTGTATTCCTCCACTGCACTCCACTGTCTCTCTAAGTTGCCTGAAGAGTTGCTCGACAAAAACTCACAAGCATGGAACAAGGGAAGAATTTACTACCCAAGTGCGTCGGAGGAAGTAGCAAATGCTTATGCTGCTCAATTTACAGAAGACATGAAGAACTTTCTGAATGCTAGAGCTAAAGAGATTGTGGCTGGAGGGATGATGGTAGTGCTCATGGCTGGTCTTTCGGATGATATCCATTATTCTCAGCTCTCGGCAGGTCGGCAGTTTGATTTCATTGGGTCTACACTCATGGATATGGTGAATGAGGTAAGTCAATGTTCAGCAGGAATATGCATTCTGCAATACATTTTGATAAATCTATGTGGCACTTGAATCATATTTCCATTGTAATTCTGTGTAACACCTTAATGCAAACCGCTTTTATAGGGATTAGTCAGTGAAGCTCAAGTGGATTCATTTAACATTCCTGCGTATTGTCCCTCCCCCAAGGAGATTGCACGGCTTGTAGAAGAAAACGGATGTTTCAGCATTGAGAGAATGCAGATGATGGATTCGAGGTCAAAGATGAATGCCCCGCCACTTGATGCGCACACATTTATAATGCACCTAAGAGCTGGCATGGAAGGATTTTTCACCAAACATTTTGGAAGTGAGATTGTTGGCGAAATGTTTGAAAGGATTTCTAAAAAAAGTGCAGAGTTTTCCTGCCTGCTGGACAAAGGCTACAATGAAAGAAATGAAGTATTTTTTGTTTTGAAGCATAAATGATGTGAGTTGGGATGGTATTGGCCTCATTATAAGGGTAATTTACATATCTTTGCTATCTTTTCCTTCCTTTTTTTTTTTTTATGAGAAATAATATAATGTTATTCAGGAAAAAAAAAAAAAAAAAAGAAGAGAAATAATATATTGTTGCCTAAAATGGTTTAAACTAAAGCCTGTGACTTATTTAGATTTTGTGCTCAAATCCAGAATTTGGCAGATTTTGAATTTGATTCTGACAAGAGCCCTTTTGCTTGGACAATATTATTATGCTGACTGATGAATTGAATACATTGTGATGTGATTTGAGTTCAAGTGGCAACACATGGAAAACTACAAGAAGAGTCTTAGGCAATTTTTAAATTTTTTTTTTTTATGATATATGGATTTAAGCAATTTAGTGTCTCAGATATTTTTATTTTTATTTTATTTATTTATTTATTAATTTTTTTTTTTTTCAGAGTTCAACACCTTTGATATGGTTAACTGTAACAAGTATTATATTTCTTGGTCTGTTATTGCATTTATAGAATTAACAAATTATTTTATTCATAATTTTAACTTATTATTTTGGACAATTTGAGTATCCACTAATTTTAGAGTATATACTAGCCAGTCGACTTCATTTATTTGAGACTAAGGCAAGGACGATGATATATATTTGCTAGCTGAAATTTTAATCGACTATTAATGATTCCACTTGCTAATTAAGAGGTTGAATTATAGAAAGTACAAGTTTATTACAAATTATCCGTATGAATGTATATGCAAATTTATATCTAATCAAAGAAAAATGACATAGCACATTTACAGAAGAGATTATATTTTAGAAGTATTTAAACAAAATTATTTTCTCCTAAGCACTCTCAAGTGTTGCACTTCTCCCATATGTGAATTAGTCTAAAGTATCATGACTAGAGAGAGCCTCCTAACAATGATGGTTTCTATCTTCTTAGATAGAAGTTCGGTTTCAAACCCAAGCTCAAATTAGGACTGCAAGTTGGGCAGGCCCAACTCATCTCGGTCCCAACCCAATCTCAACCCGAAGTTCGGTTGGGTTGGCCCGATGTCAAAAAAAGTTGGGCTCTGATAGTAACCCAAACCTGAATATGTTCGGGCCAGATGGGCTGACCCATTAAACGTTTTTTTTTTTTTTTTTTTTTTTTTTCCCTTACCAATAAATATGCAAATTACATTTCTTTATTTTCATTGTTTGAAACATCAATTTTTTCACAACATTTTAATTCATTAATAATTTCTTTTAATGTGATCAAACTATTAGTATTGTGACTGAAGTATTCAATTATTAATTTTTGTATTTTTTTCTACTCTAATTTTATTTTTATTAATACAAAAAAATAAAACTTACCTTATTTTATTTTAAATAAAAAATAAAATAAAAATTTTCTTTTTATTTGTTATTAAATAAATTCTTATTTTAAAATTATTCGGGTCGACGATTGCTTGATACCTGTTTGCATTTGGGTTATCTCTCTCTGCATTCACAAATAAATATCAATTACCAATTAGGGTTTTTAGTAAATGATACAGACAGTACTTCACATATATAGATAAACATATATCAAAGATTTGGATGCTGGAAAGAAAAGAAAAAAAAAAAACGGAAGGTTTTTTAAATTTTTGGTTGGGTTCAGGTCAAGGTCGAGGTCGAGGTTGAGCCCGAGCCCGAGCCCCAGCTGAAGAAGTTTGCGCTTTGAAAAATTCAAACCCAATTTAGTCCTGATTTATTAATTTAAAAGCCCAAGTCCTAAAAAAATTGGGCTAAGCTGGATTGGCCCGTTCAAGTTGCACCCTTAGATCGAATAAGAGTATTTCATCCTAATATGCCTTAAACGAAATCAAATTTGCTACAACACCAGTGCTTTAGCTAATTGCTGACCCTTTCCAAAGTAAATTATATTAGTGTAGAATGTTTTAGTCCAACAATTAGGAAAATATTTCCTTACCTTACGTCTGACAAAGGATCTTTTCAACCGAGTGAACTCTCCTACTGGTTGTGGCCACTAGGTTTCACTCTGGCTGTTTGGTTCTTGGTTGGTTGGGCTTAAGTTAGGTAGGTTTTACCGATCCTCTTCTTGCCTTGAGATTTTATGTAATGACCTAGTCATTTTCCTTCCTTTCCATCTTCTCAAATTTTACGGATAATTTTTTTCTGTTGATTTTTCTTTTCCGAGTTCGGATTTTTGTCACTATATATTGTTTCGAGTACTCGCGAATAATTTTCGAGACTCTTTCTTTTGGATTGACAGCGTCCTTGTACGGACCGCGTCATTTTCATTTTTTTTTTTTTTGACATTTTTTCTTTTTCGTCTTTTTCCCAATTTCATTTTCTTTCATGTAACCTCACTTTTTGTGCTGGGATTTAGTTCCGGCTTTGCATGCGTCCATAATATTTAACTTCCATGATATTTATATTTTTACTTTTGTAGAAATACATGCTAGTTGCTTACTTTTTCATAAAGGGTATGAATACATTGTTTCTTCGGAAAAATTCTTATTTTAGGGGTTTTAGTAATTGAATAAAGTAATTATTTTTCGTGAGTACAAAAGCTTTGCCTCACCTTCCTCTACAAAACTCTTGAAGGAATTCTTGAAATTCCTTTACTTTCCTTAGATTCAAGAGGGACAATTCTCTTGACAGGTAGGGGATGATTTATGTTTATAATCTATGTATTTTAAATGTTTTTGTAGCTTAGAATAATTTGTATATATGTCTTTAACATAATTAAAAAGTTGGTTGGTAGTAGTACTTTGCATGAAATTAAGTTAAAACATGATATTGTTAAACGCCATGACTTGATCTATAACTTATATTAATTTAAAATCATTTAGAGTTGTTTTGAAATCTAGAGAAATTAATTAATTAATTTAATTAATTTAAAATTACATGTTCCTTTGATTTAAATCAAGTTTTGAATTAATATATGTAATGACCATGATATGTTCTTTAGCATATATTAAATTGGAAGCATTTGGAGTTGTTTCAAAATCTAGAGATTTAATTATTTTATTTTAATTAAATTCTATTTAATAGTTCCACTTATTTGATTATGTTTTTAACATGATATTAAATTAGGTCATGACTTGTTCTTTAACATATATTAATTTGAGAATATTTGGATGAGTTTGAAATCTTTAATTAATTATTTTCTTTGTATGAAATCTAATTCACATAGTTGTATCTAGTGTAAAATTAACTTGTAATATGATATTAAATTAGGCCTTGACATGTTCTTTGACATATATTAATTTGAGAATATTTGAATGAGTTTTGAAATATTTATTTAATTATTTTTTTTTGTATGAAATCTAATTCACATAGTTGTATCTAGTGTGAAATTAACTTGTGATATGATATTAAATTAGGACTTGACATGTTCTTTGACATATATTAATTTGAGAATATTTGGATGAGTTTTGAAATATAGAGATGTTAATTAAATGAATTAATTAAAATCTATTTAATTGTTTCATTGATTTAATTAGGTATTTAACTTGATATATGTAATGACCTTGACTTGTTCCTTAGCATATATTAATTTGGAATCATTTGAAATTGTTTTAAAATGTAGAGATTTAATTATTTTATTTTTATTAAATTATATTTAATCGTTCCACTTATTTGATTATGTTTTTAACTTGATATATGTAATGACCTTGACTTGTTCTTTACCATATGTTAATTTAGAATCATTTGGAGTTGTTTTAAGATCTAGAGATTTAATTATTTTAATTAAATTAAATTCTATTTAATTGTTCTAACGATGTAATTAAGTTTTTGATTTCATACATGTGTTGACTATGATATGATCTTTGACATATAAATATTTGAAGTCATTTGAAGTTGATTTGAAATTTAGAGAAAATTAATTAATTAGTTTAATTAATTTTTATTTAAGTATTCTATTCATTTAAATAAATATTTGACTTGATATATGTAATGACTATGCTAGGATCTTTAACATATATTAATTATGGATTATTTGGATGAGATTTGAAATTTAGAGAAATTAATTATTTTATTTAATTAATTTTCATTTTTATTGTATTAATGATTTAACCATGTATTTGAAGTTGTTTGCATGTTTAAACTGTAAATTTGGACTTGTATTTTATTCATGAGATATGTTTTCAATATTGAATAATATTTTTGTTGCGTGTAACAAATCGCACACTGAAGATTCAACATTTATATGCCTTATTCATGTAATGAATCGCACACTGAAGATTCGACATTTTGTATATCATAGTAGTTGTGGACTTAGAATATGTATCGTGTGTTTCCAAAATTGGATTGTGCATGGTAGATAGCTTATTGTCTGGTATATACATGTTGATATATACGTTGTAGTACAACTTGTTGATTTTGGAAACTTGGGACGTCGTTGTATGATTACGGCTAGGGCATGGTTCTAGTACGGGGTGTGATACCCCTGAATTTTTGAATGCGGGTTAGCCAGGCCCACGCCCGAATACCCGAGGATATCAAAACAAATTGATAATAAACGAACACAGAGTACAAAATAATAAAGAAGAATAAATAAAATGCTGACAAGAAACTAAAATGATAATCTAATAATAAACCTCAGAATATATTTCCATTAATTAATAAACTCTTCCGATACAACTGATCCTCCAAAATACAACTCAGGAATCCATACTGTGTGGACCCCTAGAAAGTCCAAACTAAACAAATGACAGTAATAACTGTCTAAATCAGGAAACTGAATCATAAAGGAACTCCTATGTAGTATCGGAAGAATGAAGTAGATTGATCCCTGCTCAGCACGAACAACCTCTACTCTTGACGAACACCTGAAAAATAATTGTGGGTCAGACCCATAAACAAGTTCTACTCTACTACAGTCCAAGCAGAGATCCGATACACGTATACATCCTAGTCAATCCAACAGTAACTAGTAGTCCGTATATATATATATATACACACACACTAAAGGAACCTCACTAGATTATAGGGTTGTCTCAACCTGAATAGTAGGCAACATGCAAAACGCACATATAGTGGGCATGAGTACCTATACCTACCAGGGTACACAACTACACTATATCTAGCTACACATCCCTGGCGATATACGCGCCCTAACCACTGATCGTGAGACTCAAGCTCATATCATGGTACCATACTTATATATATATAATTTAGTAACCATCATATCCAGTATAAATTAATCCTCTATAAGTCATTCAACTTATTCAGCTGACTTGACTTGAATATAAGTAAGACTTAATATTTTAGTTAATCAATTTCCTTATATAATAAATTAATCCTCCATAAGTCATTCAACTTGTTCAGTTGACCTGACTTGAATATAAGTAAGACTTAATATTTTAGTTAATCCATTCCCTTATATAAAATAGGTAGGACTTAACTGATAAGTTAATCCGTCCCTAAAATGTCACCGTCCCATACCGGTGCATTAAACCACACAATCCAACAATTGATGTAACAATTAAGAAAATACATCAAACATTCCAGAAATAACTATGATAATATGATATCAAGTTATCACATAATAGGAATGACTTATTATTTATTTAAGCTTCCTATATCATATGTCCTACATAAACTGAATCTTATACATGATGATATTTTATTATACCGTTAAATAAGCATTCTCCATATCCAATTCATCCTACACATTTAATCTCAATTGCTAAAACATTTTTAAAAGATTAAATCCATTTGTTTGTTTAAGACATTCAAATAGAAAGCATCATTATGATTGAGTCTATTTAAATTTATTTAAACCCCAAACCTAGTTCCTATTTAATGTTCAGGAATCCTAGACATGTTTTTATGTTTCATCATTCCACAGATATGAAAAAATACATAATGTAAACATATAGAAATTCACACCGGAAATCAAATCAAAATCATGCATTTATCAATTTATAACACAAGAACAAATATGAACCAATTTCATAAAACTTATGTTCTAATCCAATTAAACATGCATAATTATTTAATTTTATGTGTTTAATAAATCCTGGAATTTCCTAGGCATGCATAGAAATACGAATCAAAGGGAAAGAGATAGAAAAAGAACTTGCCTTAAACTTTCGGATCGAAAGTTAAACTTCTTCTTCCTTGATCTTCTCTCTACATAGTTTTTCTCCTCCTTCCTTCCTTTTCCTCATTCCCTCTCTAACTCTTTCTCTCTAGAATATATCACGTGAATATTTCTATTCCCCTTTTACAACCTATAGCTATATATTTATAGGCTAAATAAAATAACCCTAACCCTTTTCCCAATCCAAGACAACTTAAAAAAATAAATATTAAAATATTAAAAAGGTAAGTAAAATATGTTACGTATATAATTTATGTATATCTTTATTAAATAAATAAATTATACACATCCCATTATTTATTAATGGACTATCTAATAATACCTAAGTTACCATAATATTATAAAGTAACTTAAAACATAACACGTATCAAAACTATGTATATTTTTATTATTTAAATATAAAACATATACATCAGATTAAATATTACTAACCAAGTTACCATAAAAGTAATTAATAAATTACTTTCCCTTTTATATATATTAAAAAGGTAAGTAAAATATGTTAACGTATATAATTTATGTATATGTTTATTAAATAAATAAATTATACACATTCCATTATTTATTAATGGATTATCCAATAATACTTAAGTTACCATAATATTATAAAGTAACTTAAAACATAACACGTATCAAATCTACGTATATTTTTATTATTTAAATATAAAACATATACATCAAATTAAATATTACTACCCAAGTTACCATAAAAGTAATTAATAAATTACTTTCCCTTTTATATATATTAAAAAGGTAAGTAAAATATGTTACGTATATAATTTATGTATATATTTATTAAATAAATAAATTATACACATTCCATTATTTATTAACGGATTATCCAATAATACTTAAGTTACCATAATATTATAAAGTAACTTAAAACATAACACGTATCAAATCTATGTATATTTTTATTATTTAAATATCAAACATATACATCAGATTAAATATTATTACCCAAGTTACCATAAAAGTAATTAATAAATTACTTTCCTTTTTATATATGTAAATAATATATATCTATATATATACATACACAACTATCTATGGGTAATAATCCATACACATCCAACCTCCTATCCAAGTAATCCATGGGACCCAATTGGTTGGCCCATTACTACTAACCATAACCATAAAAGAAAAATAAAATAAAATAATAAAAGAAAAGAAAACATTTAATTTACAATTAATCAAAATACCATTTAAGCACATAATCTAATTAAACAATTAATACATAGACAAATGCAAATAATACATAGACACATAATCAGATAATCAAGTAATACCTAATTCAATTAAACACATAAACAATTAGTCAAATAATCAATAAAATAGTTAAAAAATACAATTAAAACAAATAAATAAATACCGAGACTATCCTTTTAAAATTAGGGGTATTACACGGGGGATACGAGTTCCCCCTACAGTCTAGTGCGCACATAGGGAGGTTACCCGTAGGCTAGTAACCCTAAAGTAACCACGTTGTCAGTTTGATCCGGCGTGATGTCCGAGTATCCACCTTTGTTGATTTCGTATTTTCATTTCAAGTTGATAACTAGATGAAAATGTAACTTGTTATTCTTTGTTTGATCTAGCACTTTAGATTTCCAGTCAATAACTTTGATAATCTATATCTTGTTGCATTGTATTGGAGATCCAATTATGCTAAGTTGTATCATTAGTTGTTTCTCGCACTTTAGATTTCAAGTTGATAACTTTGATAATCTATATCTACCTTGTTGCATTGTATTAGATGTTCTAATTATGCTAAGTTGTATCATTTAGTTGTTTTCGCATTTTAGATTTCAAGTTGATAACTTTGATAATATATATATTGTCGCATTGTATCAGATGTTCCAATTATGTTAAATTTTATCATTTAGTTAATTTTCGCAGTTTAGATTTCAAGTTGATAAATTTGATAATCTATATTTTGTTGTGTTGTATTGGAGGTTCCAATTATGCTAAGTTGTATCATTTAGTTGTTTTCAAATTTTAGATTTCAAGTTGATAACTTTGATAATCTATATATTGTCGCGTTGTATCATATGTTCCAATTATGTTAAATTTAACATTTAGTTGTTTTTCGCATTTTAAATTTCAAGTTGATAACTTTGATAATCTATATCTTGTCGCATTGTATTAAATGTTCCAATTATGTTAAATTGTATCATTTAGTTGTTTTCGCATTTTAGACTTCAAGTTGATAACTTTGAGAATCTATATCTTATTATGTTGTGTCGTATGCTCCTATATCGTTTAATTGCATAAATATTGTGGTTTATGCTAGAAATGTTTTAAGGTACCTTAGGATGCTCCCTTAGTCTCACTTTGGACATAGACGCTAGGTGGCATTAACCACATGGATCAAATTATATTAACTTGTAAAACTTTAGGTCTATGTATATTCATTCTCTATGAGTAATGTAAGTTACTCACCTTGCTGAATGCGATTTGTTTCAGGGAAGAAGAAGTGGTTTCGGGATGTATAATATCCCTAGGTTGTCTTGTTAATTTGGAGTTCTTTTAATGTATTTTTGTTCACATGCAAGTGTTAGCATGTTTAAGTTTTATTTATAAAGTTGTAATACTTAGCTAGGTTCAATATGCCGTTTATGCTTTGTGATATGTAAAGTGTACTTAGATACACTCTTTAAGACATATTTAATATGTATGTAATGAGGGCACAGGCCATTTACTTTTAAGTACTTTTGGTTTCATGCATAATTATTGAAAAATGAAGAAATTAGAAGTTTTAATGTGTCATTTTCAATTTGGAGCATGTAAAGTGTGCCTAAGCACACTCATTAGGACTCTTTTAATATATTTAAGGGGTGGCCAAGGGCCAAATACCTTTTCGTTTTCATCTATGCATTTTGGTTTTAGGTTTTTCTTTTAAAAGTCGTTTTAGGCGAATTTGAGGTTTGATATGTCGTATTTTGTATCAGGCATGTTTAGGGGCCGTGAACCATTCCCGCGCACTTTAAATCACTTATTACATTTGTGTACACAATCGTTTTAGCACACAACTTCATATTCGACCAAATAAACACTTGAAGCAAATTCATTTTAGGTTTTATGCAAAATCTGGTTTAGGGGCATTTTGGAAATTTTGCTTTAAAAAATAAATTCTGGCCTTAACATGGTCACTTAGAAAATGTGATTTAGAGGGGGTTTCTTCACAACATTTTTCCAAAAAATGTCGTCTCGGTCTCGAAAACTTCGTGTCAAATCTGATTTTTTGTTGCGCACAAATTTTTTAGGAAAAAGACTGATATAAGGGGCATTTTGGGTATTTCACTTGAAAATTAAAAACTTCTTTTGACATGGTCGTATAGAAAACATGATTTTAGGGGGGTCGCTTCACAACTTTTTTTTCCAAAAAATATTATTTAAGTTCTCAAAACAGCATTTCAAGTCGGAAGATAGGTGCAGGCCCACATGGCATGTCAGGGGGCAGCAACGTGCGCGCACGATGTTCACCGCGGTCGCGCCCCTGGTGCCCTGTCTTGGCAGCCCCGACGTCGATTTTGTTTCGGCCATAACTCTTTCGTCTAGACTCTGAATCAAGCGATTTTTGAGTCAAACTTCGTTAATTTTTTGTTGTCTATCCAATGGTATGCTCGGTAGCATCCATATCTTTTTGGAAATGACCATTTTGCCCCTAGGGCTAATCTAGTCCCTTTTTAAAACATCGCTTCCGCTTTGTGTGTGTGTGTGTGTGTGTGTTTTTATTTTTTATTTATTTTTTATTTTATGTGGCTTCATAGGAAGTCATGCTTGTGTCTTAGGGATGACGTACTTCTTTCGAGGCTTTGTTTCAGTGTAAAAAGACCATTTTTCCCTTAGCGCCATACTTAGTCTATTTTCAACTCTAGCTTCCATTTTTATTCTCGTTAAGTCCCGTGACCTCATGGAAGGTCACTTTGACGTCTTAGAGATGTGTTGTAATTCTAGAGACTTGGTTTCTATTTTCGCTTCCGCATTCGAAATCCGTTATCGAGTTAAATTTCGGCTAATCACAGGATGCATTGGCTTGAAAAACCAGGGGCGTCACATTCTGGGATTGAGATGAGCAGTTTTTATACAGTTTCGTGTTTCTCTCATGGTTTATCGAACTGTCGGTTCACAACGGGTTTTTGACCTTACATTACCTATTTCACCACTTTATTACCCAATTCACTAAAGCATCAACAAGTAAAGTTAGATTAGCTTTGCCTCGGATCCAAATCTGCTCCAGTGCACCTCTCACTGGACTCTATCCAATGAGGATCCAAGGGCTGAGATCAAACCACCTGAGCCCTTTTTGCCACATCACTACCTGACACCCTGCAACACAGCGCTCAATCAGCAACTTAGTCAACAAAGTTACTGATGTAATTTTTTTTGCCACATGTACTAATACAGTAGCCAAATCAACAGTATGATCTCCAAGTATATAACATACACTAATACATTATATATATACAAAAATATATGTACAAATCTTATATACAAAAATATATTGACATTATTCAGTATCCAAATATACGTATAACAATATATTATATACAAAAATATTTTATTCATATATATACAAATCTTATATACAAAAATATATTGGCATTATTCAGTATCCAAATATACGTATAACAATATATTATATACAAAAATATTTTATTCCATTCATTTTCAATAAAATTACAAATCTCAATACAACATACACTTACACGTGTAATAATATATTATATACAATAATATTTTATTCCATTCCTTTTCAGTAAAATTACAAATCCTCATACAACATACAATTATACCTTATATATATACAAAAATATATATACAAATCTTATATGCAAAAATATATCGGTAAAGTTTAGTATCCAAATATACGTATAACAATATATTATATACAAAAATGTTGTATTTCATTCATTTTCATTAAAATTACAAATCTTAAACATTGATTATGTATCGGTACAGTTCATTATCCAAATATAAATTTATTTGAGATTTTAGGATTTCGAAATAATTGACTAATTATATAGATTTTAAGGTTTAGAATTGTGAAATTGAGTTGTGGAAGTTAATTTTTTTAATGTGTTAGGAAAATACGTTGACGCTATTGTGAAAACAATGTTAATGTGCGGTGCAGAAGCTATTAGTTGACTTTAATTGTGATTAACTCCTTTAATGACCTAGATTTGATTATTAGGTCAACTTGCTCAATTTATGATTGATTTAAATTGTATGATCAATTAAACATCCATAATCATAAATATAAATACTGAAAAACAAGTTAAGTTTAGAGAGATTGCACCAGGATTTTTAGCAAGGAAACCCCAGTTGATAAAATACGTCAATTGTTTGCATTGGAAAAACCTCGTGGACTATGCAGTCGAAAGTAAAATGATCCACTATGTTTCAAACAATGTATACTGAACTTTGACTCTAGCTCATACCTTATCGTTCTATCAAACACTAATTGCTAACAATCCTCTGGCTTTACGACTCCCCGTGCAACAACAACTTGACATCCAACGTATGCTTGATATTTGTAGAAGAATAGCTGGTAGATTAGACAATACTCCTCGAATGCTCCAACCCTTTCAAAGTGTGATCGCTTTTACTTCTGTTCTTCAAGATCTGAACTGGATGTAGAAGAATTAAATCCTACTTTTCACTCGGAATCTCTAAATCTTCAATATAGGTCCAATTCCGATGAGATAGAGAACAACACTACTAAATCACTCGTGAATATATGTGTGTGCTCTAATAAATTCAGAATAATCAGATTTGATTTTCTGAATTTTTCTCTCTCTAAAGGCTTTCTCAAAATATAGAATTGATGATCTTTAAAGCCATAAATAAACCTAGATAACTACCAAGGTTTATATAGTGTTTAGAATGTCTTAATCCTTCTAAAAATATAGAAAATTTTGTGCTCCAAAAAGGAATTAAAACGGATAAGGAAACTGAAGTTCTGTACTGATCAGGACTTCTTGAACCAGTACTAGAATGTGGCTACCAGTTCTAGAAGGTCAGAATGCTTTCCGACGTACTTCGGCTACCGGTTCCTAATGGACAGAAGTGAATCTGCTATTTCCTACCAGTACTAGATTTTTGCTACCAGTACTAAAAGGACAGAATGTAAATTTCCTTAACACTTCAAACTTCTAAAACTTCCTAAGTATTCTCACTCACTCGCATACCTCTCTAAAACATTGTTCTCATCATCTCGGAGTGTAGTATACCATGAACACTTGAACTTCTTTCAATCCGCATCCGATCTTCAAACTTGAATTTTAGAACCGAAAAATTACAAATTTATTTATTTTTATTTATTTTTCCTTCCTAGTTGGGTACTTACACACACATGCCTCCACTGAGGCTCGAACTCCTGACCTCTCTTTGAAAAGTAGGAGCTTGGTATCGCTAGGTCACTGGCCTATTGGTAAAAAATTATAACTCGATCGGACTTGTTTTGACAATAAATTAGCCAATTATAAAATATATCTCACAATCTCCCCTTTTGGCAATTTCGTGACAAAACCCTAAAAACAATTTAGCAATCTACTCAAGTAAGAAAGTAAATTACAATGATTATTAAAGGAATTAAAACTGCGAAAATTTTCTTGAACCTCACGAAGCTTCAACACATGTAGCAACCTGTAATCTGTACATTAGCTATAACACAACTACCCGTGAAGCTTAATTAAGAAAATAAACATAAGTATAAAATAGCCATGCTAATAATGCCTGAATATCAATGTAATGTTATGCAATGAACAATAGTTCTCCCCCTCAATGCAAAAAGTTCTCCCCCTCAATACAAAAGTATTTCTCCACCTGAATGATAAGACTATAAACTCTCTCCCCCTTTTTGTCACAAAGTAACAAGGGAGGAAGACATATCCTAGAAGTAAGAAGCAACCAACCATATAAATCTTGTAAATTGAAACCAATGAGAATGTAGACTCCGCAAGACTATATGTTTCAAAACAAATAACCAAGATCAATTCAATGAAGTTCCACAAACTTAGTAAGTGTAGTAAAATTACCACCAAGTTCAAAAAACTTATGATCCGACAACTGTTCAGATTTCAGACAATAAATCAATGATATCACATATCCTTAGAAATCAAACAATTAACATTTGCAAAAGACATTTTTTTTTTATTTCTCTCTTTGTGCTCCATTTTTCTTTTTGCACATTGACGGTTTTCACGCTTATGGGCAGCCAACACTTTCCCTCATTCGCATTTATTTTAAGTCAAGACAGCTTTGGACAAATCTCAAAGATAGTCTTTTCCATCTCACCTTTTTCAAAACAGCAAAAAAAATTTCATTCTTTTTCAAAAACTTTTCATTCCAAGTTGTTTTTCAATTTTATTTTCTTTTCACTCTTTTGGTCTAAAACACATAAAACAAGTTTAAATTTCAAGGCAATGATCAATCATATAAACATTATCTTTAACCAAAACAATGACATCAAACACAAATAAATGTACTATCAATGATTCATTTACCATCCGAAGCAAGTAAGCAAAACCAATGTCATCAATTCTTAGCCATAGCATGTTGTACACCTATAATCCATGTGTCATGAAACTCCTTGTGTTCAACATACTCAATCAATA